GAATAAACTCCCTTTTAAGTGATTATTTTTATAATGAATGATTATATCTTTATATCTGGCAAATATTGCTAGTTTAGCACTATTATAAGGCATATATTATTTTCATTTACTTCTTTTTTTATTAGAGGATAGTTTACTTTTAAGAATATATATATATATATATTCACTATTACTTCATACACTATTCATAGAGATGTGTCCAGATATTAATGGTAGAACAGTGGTAGAACAGATATTAATGGTGTATATATACATATTATTTATTTATTTATTCATCTATACAGAAAACTCTAATGTAGATATATTTATTTGCATTAGAGTTTTCTGTATAGTGAATAAATAAATAAATAAATAAATATGTATATATCTACTATTCTACCATTAATATTTGGACACATCTCTATGAATAGTGAAGTCATATAAGGAGCATGTTATAGACTTTCATAAATGGGCTCAAAGAGCTCTGATGAGATCTTTGGAAGATGGCTCGAGTTGAGTTTTAGTGTAGATTGATGATAATTTTTCACATAAGCATTCATAGGTGAGATTTTATCAGAATTAAAAGTCTTAGGTTAACAGTTTTTGATGTGATCTGCAAACAGAAGCAAAAGGGGGCTGAATCTGCCAAGAAATGGCCCAATAAACTTCTAACGCTAAAAGATTGTGACAGGAGAGCTCTAAAAAGGATTGTGCACTCCAAACACAACTCAATATTACCTAATTAATATCTTATGTCAGACTAATGTAAATGTTATTATGGATCACGATGATTGTACAGTCATCCACAAGCTGCTAATCATGCATTTAATAATTAGCAGTGGCACATTCAAAATTTAATCTTGGAGGAACTGAGTTGAATAGATTAAAAAGTTGTAATGCAAATTCAATAAAGATCCTATTTCATGAGATTGCTGATTCATAAGACACAACATAATATAATGTGAACTGCCAGGGAGGTCGGGAACAGTCGCACCTCCCTTTCCGGCAACAGGCCGTTAAACCTGCTCACTTGTCAAGATGGCTGTTTTACGATAATGGTCCCGAGGATCGGGACTCTCAAATGTCGGTTGAGTGGAAGGAGAGTATTTGGGGTCAGTGATAAGGCATAGGCAGTATACGAGTAAAGGAGTCTACCATTTAACAATTAAAACAAGAATTTATTAAAATAGACAAGATTAACAAAACTACAGATACTAATATTGACGCTAAACTGCCTAACTACTCGAGAGAGAGTTTACATGCTTTTTCATACCTCTTTGTAGGTTTCCACAAAGATTCCTTAATGCACATAGATATCCAACAAATGGTGTGTTTAGGGTAATCCACAATTTAGCAGATATATAAAAACTCGTGACTGGGGCGACAAATGGAGATTGATGTTAGAGGTTCGGAGTTTACGGCAGGTTCAGAGATTCTACTCGATGGGATCTGATGTCGTCGGTCTGGCTTTCGTTCAGAGACTCCCCCGAGAGGGGGGTAGGAAATGTCTTTTATAGCTTTTTGCTGGGAAAATCAGTTACGTGATCTGTTATTATATGAGATAAAGGTTATAGGTGTTCCTGGGACCAAAAACAAGTGATGAAATTTGGATTCTAAATATAAACTTTTGTGCAAGTTGAGCTGCAAGCTATGTGAGAACAATAGAATGTTGCCAGTTATGAAAGGAAGGTTTACACATTCCCAGCTAAGATCACCCTTTTTTTCAGTTCGTTATATAAACAGAAGTAAAACAGTTAAATTTTGAGATTAATAAAATTCCGGATCTCACAATAAATAAATAAATAAATAAATTTTATTTAAGAAAAAACTTTTGGAAAATTTACTAGTGCTGTTTACTTTTTACTTTGGTGGTGCCAGGTTTCCTTTGGTTTCCCTCTGGGTTCACCATTGGCAATTAGCATAGTGTCAAGAACACTAATGTACTGTAAATGAATAGAAAAATGCTTTGGAGAGATAATTCATGGCAATCGGATAGCAATCTGATTATTTTAAAATTCCATATGAACTAAATATATTTGAAAGAATCAAATTTAAATCGCACAATTACAGTATAACCTTAGCACTGGAAAAACTTCCTTGTTTGAATTACAAGATAAACTCACATAATTATAATAATATATGGGACCAAAAAACGTAATTTACAAACTCAGTTGCAACTGCACACCCCCCAAATCCTATGTAGGTGAAACTGGCAGAAATCTTAAGACCCAGTTTAAAGAACATATAACTGTGATTAAATATAATAATTGCAACTCGGCTGTTGCTGTTCATTGTAACAACGAAGGTTGCCAAATCATTAAGGAAACCATAAAAATTGTCAAAAAAGAATAACATACGCAAAAAAGGAGATAGTATGACCATCTTGAAATCCTTAAAAACAAAGACATTATGATGAATAATAACATTGGCCAAAAACTACATGAAACTTGGTATCCATACTTGACCAAGAGAAGGGGAAGAGGGAGTGGATAATTAATGTGTTAAAGTACAGTAGGTTCTCGTTATCTGTGCATCTTTCCATACAGTACCCAGCAGGGTGCTCATATGTCTCACTTCCACTTCCTCCTTCACTTTCTAAATTTCCCTAACCCTAAAAAAAAAACCTTTTTCAACCCCCCTCTTAACACCATTCGCACCCACTATATCTCCTCTACCTCAAGACAATGTCTTTCTGTTGTATCCTGTTAACTTTCCCATTTACATCTTGTGTATCACGACATCGTGTACAACTCTACTGTAAGTTAAAACAATTTTCTTATGTTTTTTTCTATTTTACGGTGCATTTTCTTCACTCCATCTTTCTGTCATTCTCAAAATGTTTTCTATTGATCTTACCATAATGAAGTGTCACGGTTTCTCAAATTTTATAGACTCGCCTCTGCACTGTACCATGTATACTGGGGTGTTTTTCCAACACTATGTATCATACCATTATGTTTGCAGTAAGTCCAAACTTTTTACATATATGTAGTTTGTTTTCCCTTTTGTAAATCATTTTCCAATTTATCATTGTTTTTTAGCTTATACCTGTTAACCATTTTATATTTTATTTTTTATCTAATGTTTATCTAATATTTTATCTAATGTTACAACTCCTGCAATTCTCATAACCCGTGTAAGTTTCCTGTTGTTCTTTTACATATTTGTAACATCACAATGTTTTTTGTGGAAACTTGTATACGTTATGCTAACTTGTATGTAATTTTTCCCCTATATAGTTGTAACACACACAGTTGAAAAGGGACATAATTGTCCGAAATGCATTCTGAAAGGAATAAATAGTTTTTCTAAAGTTTGTCCTCCTTTTACTGATGTTATAATAAGTCTAGCAAAAAAGAAAAGCCACCTTAGCACTCATATAATTGAATCTGAAAGCTGTTCTTGGATATAGCAGATGCTAAGAGAAAGATAGCTTCTAGACTGTATTATTTTGTCAGTGAAGTTTGTGGAAGTGCATAATGGTTTGGAACAGATTCCTTAATTTGACATGAGCCCATTAGATATTCTAGACAAAATCATGAATGCTGGTTTCTATCTATACATCTGGACAATTATTCATTACTAGCATTGTGGTAATACTTTAGAAAAGTCTTATACCTTTATCAGCAGGACAGCATACTGTATTATGCTAGTCACATTGTTATGGATTAGATTAAGGACATGGACATTGAAAAGTTAGACTGATAAGTCCAAAATCATGACCTCAACCTGTAGGGATCTCTGAGATAAATTGAATTATCAGATGTGTATGTAGAGAGATTGTCCTAGAAACAAACTCTTGACTGGTCACTTGAAAATTGATTAGTGGAACATATCTCAGAATATTTTTCAAGAACATATAAAACATGCTACAAAGACTTTTAGCCATCATATAGGTCAAACATTTAAACATACAATGTTAAACTGTTTGGTAATATAGATTATTTGTCAAATTTTGGGTATCAGGATACTAATGGTAAGATTGTGTGTGTTTGAGTACATCATATTTCTTCAATGACATCTCAAAATCAGAGTCCAAAACAATGTTCAGAAGTCATTGCAGATGGACCATTTGATGTATTATGCACCAACAATAGATATGACTAATGAACAATAATGCCCCAAAATCATCAGTTCAAATGAACTTTGTGGTTACAGTTATTTAATTTAAACTTTTTTTAATGTTTAAAATGCTTTCAAGACAACATTATGACACAGCATTAAAATGAACAGTTACTATGTATGCAGAAGAACATGGAAATGGAACTACCAAATATTATTTATTTCAAGCATTTATATTATCATCTTTCTGTTAACACAGAGTTGTCATTTTATGATCATTAGATTTATGTTTTTGCATGAAAATTTGATTCAAGTATAAAATTTACATGAAAAGGAAAAAGTTTCCAAAATACAGATTATAATCAAAATGTCAAACAAATGAAACAAAGATTTGGTGAATAAACTTTGTAAGCAAGGTATGCATTATTGTTTGGTAATAGATATATGTAAAGATAGATATAATTTAGTTTTATTCTGCTAAATTAATCAAATGCTTAATTCTTTAAATTTTCTACAAATAAATTTAAGCCTTGCCAGTTTTATTGAACACAAGAAAGTGTTATTTCAATATATTTTTACAATGGGAAAGATTATACCAATTCTTGCTGATGATGTAAACAGAAATGAGAAATAAATTATTTTACAAGATTGCTTAACTGCAATAATTTTGTTTTTTCTAATTGTCTTGATTTTTGATAATTAATAGTTTTTTCAATTTATTTATAAAATTAGAAGTAAATAAATATAAATAATTAAAAGAAGTAGATACTATTAATATTAATGAATAAATAAATATAATTTTAGCAAAAAAATTTATAAGTAAAATCATTTTGAATAAGACCTACATATAAATATAATTTATAATAAGTAAATATGTTATTTACTGCAAAATATGTTGAAGACATTTATAAATCTTGAATTCAATGATTTAAATAATTCCAAAATATGATTCTAAAATTTTTTCTAGGTATGTACTTTGATTTAATGGAAATAATCCCTGCTGTTGTTGGTGACTATAGATTTAATAAACATAATCAAAAGGTAAATTCAATTATACAGGTATATCTCGACTTACGTCGTTTCGAGTTATGTCATTCCTGATTATACGTCGTTTGTCAAAAAAGTATATGGAAAAATAAAAATCAAGTTTAAGTCATTTTATTTGACTTTACGTCTGTCTGCCACAGATATTGAAGTCGTAATATCACTAGAAAAGCGTTTAAAGCACATAAAATCATATTAAAATATACACATTTACAAGTATGTACTGTATTTACAGTACATGCATTCGTAAATTTAGATTACTTTTTTCTGTACTATATTAAAAACTAAACTTTATTTGTTTGTAAGCTTAAAATAGATCCTTATTAACCATATATTATTAAAAATGCATTAATAAATAAAATACAGTACCGGGAATGGTAATTTATGGTTTAGCCTAGTGACAAGTAAATTCGACTTACATCGTCTCTCCTGGAACCAATTATCGATGTAAGGCGAGGTATACCTGTATTCGTTTTGAATAGCAAATTAAAATAAATTTCTAATAATTGCTATAATTTAATTTGTAGGTTTCAAGATTTTCAAAGGAAGTAGAAGTTAGAGCTTTAATAGAAGGACAGTTTTTAAGCAAGAGAATACATGCTGAGAAACTTGGATACACCACAGGTTAGTTGAAAAATTTAACAATATTTACAATTAAAGAAGAAATTAATATTTCTATATTTTTAAAATACATAGATTTTATCAAATTTGTTTTAAAAAAGTAATTTAAAAATTGTTGATGAAAATGTACAGTAAAACCTGCATAAATGGGAAAAAACTCTTCAGAACAGAGCAATTTTCTATGTGGGGAAAAAAGCCTGTTCAATACAGAAACCTGCCAAATCTGAAAAAATGTTTGGTACTGTGCAATTCTAGTTTACACAGGTTTTATTGCATATAATAACAAGTTATTAAAGTTATAAAGATAATAGATTTTGGTAATTGTCAGCATTTAAAAAAGTTATTTTAAATTTTGACCAACAGTGTTTCATTTATGAAAATAACTTTTTGGACAAATTCTATTATAAAATATGAATTTTTATTTTTCTATATATATATTTTGTTTTTCCCCATCAATTTTAGTTATGTATATATATATATATAATATACAGTAGATCCCCCTATAAGACGGTAGATACGTTCCGTTCTTTATGAATCAATTTTGTAGGAATCATAGTTTACGGACTATGGCTGTTTGAAAGGTTTTCTTTCATAAAATTAATCAATTCTAGACTAATTTGACTCAACATTTCCAAAATACGTATATTTTTTTGAAAATAATCCGTATAAACTACGTTATAAACAAAAAATTGTAGGATTGCTTACCGAGTGTGTACC